AAATAATATTATTTAAAAAATTAAAATAATGTAAGATGAAAACTTTTCCTCTTACCGAGCTCCACTAAGGCCCTAACTGTGAAGTCTTCCGTAACGGTGCCTAATACCATAGATTTAGCAAACGGGCGGGTTGGATCCAGTTCAGGTTAGATTAATTCAGATGACAAGTTATATGGATTGGATTATAAATAAATTATAGGTTGAAAAAATTTAATATTAACCTGACCTTAAAGGAGTTACGAGTTAATCTGTAAGTTGATTTTATTTTCATTTTTCATAATTATTTTTATTAATTTTATTATATACAAATAAAATTATATATATTTAAATTTAATTAAAATATTATAATTTATAAACACTAAGTATTTTGTAGTCTCAATCACAAACATTTAAATTAAGAAAAAAATCATAAAGTTATAATTAACAATAAGTTTATTAATAATATTAAACGTAAAATATTTAAATTTTTTGAAAAATAAAGTTTTAATTTTATAATCATCTTGAAACATTATCAAGTAATTTAAGCCATCTTTTTAATGATGAAATTGCTCTTCCAAAAACATCTTTCACTAAATTATTATGTTTATATCTTAGTATCATATATTTTAATATTTTAATTGCATTATCATTTCATTCATAATACTTGAGTAATTGTTAATATAAATACAAAAAAAAGATACTTGAGTAATTAGTTTAAACTCATCATAGTTTATTTTCTTTTTCTAGAAATTAAGAAGCATGAATGGAAAGAGTTTTTAATAAAAAAATTAATTAAGAATAATAAATATAATATTTTTAAAAACAAAAATAAAAAAAAGTCAACTTATCAACTCATAAATTGATTTTAACTCGATCCGTGACTCGTACGAGTTAACTGCAAGTTGCAAGTTGAAATATGTAATCCTTAACTTCTTTTTAGGAATTGAGTTAAGATTGAGTCAACAAATCAAATGAATTTTTACCACCTTTACTAACACATTTCCCAAAATTACGACGCCAATTTGGTGAGGACAAGAATTATGAATTATTAATTGCGAGTAATATGTGTTAATTATTTAAATAATTTATTGATAATTTTTTAATAAAAATAAAAAATTTAAATATAAATTATATAATATATAATAAAATAAGTTAAGAGATTAAAGAAATTGTGTTTTATTATATAATTTAAGATTTAAAAAAAAAAAAAACTGTGCGTAATTCGTCGGAATGGAAACGCACTTCACTGAATTCCGGCACCGATCAATTTTCCAGCACGGGCGAGGTCAGCTCAGCCTCGTACTGATGACAGCGAGAAACAGGCAGACATAGGGCTGATGTCATGTGGTTTCATCATGGAAGTTTGAAGTGATTTACGTCAGCCCAACCATCAAGTCGTTGATAATTTGAGTTATGTCATAGTATTGCTAAAAGGATTTTCTTTTTTTAAAAAAAATAAAAATACTTATTGAAATTAAAACTGAACAGTTGAGATAACCTATCACCATTAAAAACACAAAGATAAAAATATCAAAATTTTTTTTTAATTGATAATTTATTTTTAGTTAATAATTTATTTATAATTAATAAAAATCAATCCCTGAGCTAATTTTTTTTTGTATTTATTTAAACATATTGGTTACAGACATGCGGTGGCTGGGCGAGAGATAATAATTTGAGGGAAGCTATTCTATTGGTCACAGAACCACTGTAGAGCTGATGTCATGTGGTTTCATCATGGAAGTTTGGAGTGATTTACGTCGGCCCAACCGTAAGTAGTTGATAATTTGAGTTATGTGATGTAGTCTTGTTAAAAAGATTTTAAAAAAATTAAAAATAAAAATAGCTATTGAAAATTAAAACTGAACAGTTGAGATAACCTCACCATCATTAAAAATATGAAGATAAAAATATCAAAATTTGTTTTTAATTTTTTTTTTTGAACATTTTGTCATGAATGGATTCGAAACCTGTTTAATGGAGGGGATAAGCACTTTTTTAGTGACATTAGTTATTAGACCACAAGGGTCAAGTGCAAAATTTGTTTTTAGTTGATAATTTATTTTTAATTAATAAAAATAATCCTTGATTTATTTTTTTTATTTATTTAAACATATTTTAGATTTATCTTTTGAACTTTAATATTAAATAATGTTATATTAAATAGAATTGTATTTTTTATATGATACCCTTATAAATATTAAATGGATAATAGATATTAATATATATATATATTGGATTTATTTTTTGAACTCTAATTTTTTTTTGTCTTTTTTTTTAATGAAGGTTAATACCTTTATCAAATTATGAATTTTAAATATTATATATTTGATATATATTTTATTTTTATTTATGTAATTAGTAATTTTTTCTTTTTTTATTAAAATTAGAATAAAAATTAAAACATGACATGAAAATTAATATTTAATAAAGTTTAATATTAAATCATCCCTGTATACGAACCATCCATTACCAATTACCTATAAATATTAAATGGATACTAGATTTTTTAGTTTAATTATTTATGTTTACAAAAAAAAAAAAAATCGTTTTTACTTAGGAAATGAGCTGTAGATTTTTCAAATGAGGATGCTTTTTTACTTTTTATAATTGTTCAGCTATCATGATCTGCGCATGGGGTTCTTCTCTGTCGTTAAGGCTTTCCGGATTTTTTTTGCGCTTTTCTTTCTTCTGCTCTAAAAGGTTTCCATTTTGGGTACTGATTAATTCTGTAAATTTTGGTTTTTCAAATTTTTGGTGACGGGAATTATCCATGGAAGGAAGAAGCAATAGTTTTCAACATTTTGTGGGAAGGAGAGAACCGAAGAGGGATATATGTGCTAAATTGTGGTATGGGAGGTTCTTGGGGTAGTAAAAGCAGAGTGAGGGTATATATAGGAATAGGAAGGAAGGACAAACCGTTAATTGATCAAGATTAGGGAGTGTAAAATGAGCAAAAGCGATGACTGAGGGCTAGGGGTGGGCAAAAATCGGTTTTGGTTAAAACCGAAACCGATTTTGAATTAACCAAAAAAATTCGGTTTTAATTTTGCAAACCAAAGCCGAACCGAAATTGTTATAAGTTAATTGGTTCGGTTATTGATTTTTATCAATGAATTCGGTTTGATTTCGGTTTTTATTAAATAAATATTAATTAATTATTTTTTAATAATAAATTATATTTTATCACATATTTTATCATATTTTGTTATATTTTATCATATTTTAAT